CACAATCTTGCTTTAAATAAGCTGTAAGCCCGCTACAATGATTCTCGGTTCTGTCTACAATGGTCGTAGTCGTAGTCGCTCGATAAGAATTGACCAATCGCAGTCGATTATTCTTACGACTACGACCATTGTAGACAGAACCGAGAATCATTGTAGCGGAGGCTTAAGAATTGACCAATCGCAGTCGATTATTCTTACGACTACGACCATTGTAGACAGAACCGAGAATCATTGTAGCGGAGGCTTTATGTTTCGATTGCGAACACGACGCAGAGTCGCAGACGGCTTCTGTCAGCGAGGTGGGAAACGAAGGCCTTGCTCTTATGTTTTGCATTTTCGCGAACGCGCTGGTAGACAAGTGTTGCGTCCGAACCTGTGGACTTGAATTGAACGTAAGTTTGTGAAGGAGAGAGGAAAAATTCGTCACCTTCGAACAACTTCGGATTCTGCGGGTTTGGAAAGCGCGTTTAGGTTAGCCCGAGGTATCCAATATGTCATTAACTTCGTGCTAAGTTTAGCCCATTGAAATATCAATTTTACACTTCGACGAGGTCGAATTGCCACACTGAGCCCTCGCACTTTTACCGTCACCAGAGTTGAATAATAGAAGCCTTTGTAGACAAAAATTATTTGCAGTCTCACACACGCACGCACAGAGGGGTCTCCTATTATGAGATGGCAGAGTTTCTGCAAAATTAACGGGGCATCATCTGTTGGTTCCAGCATGCATTTATTGCCGTTGCAGTGAAATGTGTTTGGTGGGAAATGCATGGCGAGAAAAGATTTTTCATTGAATCTGGACGTTGAAGGCCTACTGTCTCAATGGAAAACTTTCCTCTGCGCATATTAGTGAGCAGTGTTTAGATGATACAGGGTGCATTCCAGCAGGAGACTCAGATTGACATGGTGAAACGCCAAGAATCAGCAAAGATTAAACGATTCACTGTGTTACTCAGTGTCGTCTGTGTACTGGTTGCTGGACAGCGCCCGTATAAGATTCTTGTGTTCTAGGACAATGGTGACAGGACCAACTGAGCATGGGATGCAGGCTGACGTTATATTTGTCATCGAGGGAACGGCCTCCAACGGCGCGTACCTCAATGATCTCAAAACGAATTACGTTATTCCAACGTTGGAGTAAGTTTCTATTACAAACGTTAATTATACATTGACTTCCTATAAAACGAGAACCTTTCTAATCGATCTGCTCCCTACATTGCAGATACTTCAGTCAAGGTGGCATAGAAGACAGGGAATACGTCTCTGAGGTAAACAGTTGTATTTGTTAATCTTATCTGTACAGGAATTGATCAAGTCGCAATTGATTTTACCAAATGGAATTTGTATAACAGAACAGCACGACTCTGTACGGAATAGTTGTCTATCATGCTGCCGATTGCTTGCCGTCGCCGTGCACGGAGACTTTTGGACCTTATTCCAATCCCCACAAGCTACTGATGGTTCTGGACAAGCTCGAGTGAGTTGTGAACACAATTGCCTCTCGTAGATGACTTTCGTGCACGAATAAATTAATTTCCACTCTTAAAATTGTTTCTATCGATTGATTTACTTGATCAATAAGAACGTTTCGTGTACTAGAACGATCGGCGGAAAGGGCGAATTCTTTGCCAACATAGGCGAGGGTCTTGCCACAGGATTACTATGTTTCGAGGACTTGCAGCTGAGACGGGAGCCAAGCACCGCTTCGCAGAAACATTGTATTTTGATATGTAATTCGCCGCCGTATCAAACTATGATTCAGGAAACCTACAAGTTCGCCGGTCACACCATCGAGCAATTGGCTGCCCTTTATCAAGAGGTGAGCGACGTAAAAGTTAGAAAGCGCTCAATAAGGCGTACGATGTGAACACGTACGGTGGCAATGTACGCGCGTAACTTTTCAGAGGAACATCAACATCTCTATATTATCGCCGAGGAAAATTTCGGCATTGTATAAGCTGTTCGAGAAAGCTGGCGGCGATTTGCAGTCCTCGCAAACGAAGAACTACGCCAAAGACCCGCGGCACCTGGTGCTCCTGAGAAATTACAATCTGAAGGAGCGACCGGTCAGCCCCCAAATGAGCGGTAACGTTCACAACACCACGGCCACCGCGGCGCAGATACCGCTTAGCCCGTTGCAGAGCAACGACAGTCCGAATACTAATCAGGTGCAGCAGAACATCGCCCCGCCGAATCAGCAGCAGGGTCCTCCGTTCAGAAACCAAGCCCCACCTCAGAACATCCCCTCTGTCCATCAGACCGTAACGCCGTCCATGGCGGCGCCGATGAACGCCGCGCGGCCGCCTTACAATCCTCAGATAGCCGCGCCGCCGAGCTACCATCCGGGAGGAGTGAACTTAGCTACGAGGCCCAGAGCGTGGATGCGGCCGTTCATAGCGCCGGGCGCGACCGCGCCCGCAAATACGCAAGGCAGTGCGCTGATAGCACAATTGACGCAACCGCCTTCGTCGTTGGGGCTCAACGTAGCTGCGTTTAGTCAACGATTGGATGGTAAGAGCATGGTCGCTCTTGTCATTTGTATCCACGCGATTCGCTTGGACGTATAAACTCCGTCGTGTTCACTTTGCAGTAGCTGGAAATAACGTTATGGCGGCTAATCAGCAACAACAGCAGCAACTCACGCCGCAGCAGCAGCAGCAACTGCGCTTGACAATGCTGCAGCAGCAGCAGCAGCAGCAACAGCAGCAGCAACAGCAGCAGCAGCAGCAACAGCAAAGTGTCCAACAGGTTACCATGTCTATGGCTGCTCAGTCGACTCACAGCCAACCGGGATCGCAACTCGCCACATCTTGTATTAGCCAGTCTGTGCCCACTCAAGTGCCACAGACTGTCGCAGCTTCGCAGCAAGCACCTGTCTCGGTATCTTCCATCACGCAACAGATTACTCATCCTCAGGCCCAAGTAATCAAATTACGTTGTTAAATTTCTACGAAATTTTTCGAACAGAATATGAAGATTTAAGGTGCACGCGACAGGTAAACGGATGTGCTTAAAGTGGTTTGCGAGCTTTCGCGCTAAATTTTACAAACCTCCATCTTTTGCCTAAAAAACGGAACAAACTTTTGTTCAACCCAATATTTTGATAAACTGTAAATTGAGAGCTGTTCTAAGCCGCGAGCAAAGATTACGCGAACACATAATGAGAAAAGAGAATAATGCTGATTCCATTGTAACCGGTTTTTTTCCTTTTTTTTTTAGGGCAACGTTTCTACTGGTACAGTACAAAATCAAGTACAAATTGTGCAGCCGCGCGAGCGACAGAACATCTGGCAGGGTATCGTGGAATGGATCGAAAAGGCCAAAAATCCGACGGACGCGCAAAAGCAAACGAGACACGTGCCGTGTCAGGTTTTGGCTAATGCGAAAGACGGGGATCCAGAATTGTACGCTGCTCATGTAATTTATGCTTGACAGTGTCGGCATAATTTCCCCGTGCTTTTATCTCACGTGGCTGGTTTGCTTTTCAGGAAAGCGGATACATGGCCGCCGAAGCTGATAATGCAATTGATGCCGAAGCAATTGATAGGGAGTATCGGTGGTACCTATCTAAAGAATTCCAAGTCCGTTGTATTTCACCCGACGCCGTGTGAAGCATTGGAATCTTTAACAAAAATGATGACTGCTGGATTTGTAAGTGTTTTCGTCACGCATACCGCGTAACAAACTCGCGTGTCTTATTTCGTTTGCTGCGAATAATCCATGTACCCGGCGCAATCTCCGCAATAATACTCAAGTTTCAACGTATCTCAGGCAGGTTGTGTCCACTTCACTTCTGCATCGTCAAGTCCAGCTTGCGAGATAAAAGTACTTATACTTTTATATACTGCCGATAAGAAGACATATCTTGGTTTCATTCCAAACGACCAAACAGCTTTTGTAGATCGACTTCGTAAGGTTATACAGCAGCAGAAAACGTCTCAAAACGCCTCCGTGAGACAGGTGAGTTGTTACGAGTAAGTTATTATACACGAATTGAGATCAGGGAGTAACTGTATGACTGTGTTAGGCTAATCCTGGACCGGGCAATGCGATTCCCGCACCCATGCCTACCACAGGCACGCAGGGGGGTATTCTTATGTCGCAAACAAATACTATGGCGATGGGAGGTGGCCAGATAACGCAGAATGTCGTGTCCACCGCTCCGCCGCAAACTTTAACTTCGACCAGCGGCCCGCAGACCCAAATGAATATGCAGGTAATACAAACGTGCTAGCATTTCTCTGGAATAACGCATTTATTGACTAGATCTTTAGCAAACGTTACATTACAGAATAGCGGAATTAGCGGCCCGCAAGCGAATGCTGGTGCCGGAGGTATGATCGGTCAGCAACGGCCACCGTTTGACGACCTAGAGATGGCCAGGCATCAAAATTTGCTCAAGATTCAACATCTGAGGCAAACGTTGGAAGCCGCGCAACAACAAGAGGCGCAGTATAAATCTCAACTGGAAGTAAACGTAAGTACATGTTTCTAATAGAAGTAACTTTCAAAAGTGTAGAAATTCCTACGGCGGTTGCGACATTCTTGTTTAGATTCAACAAAATCTAGAAGTCGCGCAGCAGCAAGAAATGCAGTACAAGCAGCAGCTTGAGGTGAACGACTCTTGATTCGATAAATATATTTTTGTAGTATGAGAGAGACGTACAAATAATTTTTACACACACACAGGCGCAACAGGCACAGAGAGGACTCACTCAGGCCGCTATGGCTAACCAACAGGCGGGCGCTCAAAGATTGATGCGCCCAGTTTCCACCAATAATCTTGGTCTCAGACATCTGTTACAGCAGGTGAAAACTCGCGAAAACTTGAAGAAACTAACAATAAGCTTCATTTATACTAACATTCTCAGATACGTAGAATAAGCATCACAAATTGCAATTAATGTTTTCACAGCCACAGCCTCAGTATAGCGTTCGTCAAGTGTTTGGAGTGCAACAGCAAATGGTAGGTCCGAGAGGGCAGTTAGCAGCGAGACCGATGGCACCTGGTAATACACAAAATCAGCAATTTGACGACGTGTCGAGTTACGACTTCCTCGGTTGAGCGTCGCGGACAGGCGTTTAATTTCGTCGGTACACACACGCGTGCCCACGTACGAGTGTTTAAAAGGAAGTATACGAGAGCATAATGATTTTAACTTTGTATATTTATGCGAATAAATAATACTTGTACATACGGAACAGTATATGCGTGAAATGCGTACGTCACGTACTATAAAGTATTAAATTAAAAAAAAGTGTATATGTCTTTTCTGTAATTTGTTTAAGTTCTGGATACTTTTTGGCAACATTGACATGAGCAGATGCGCTTCCTCCCTAAATTTTTGTTGTATAATCAGAAACGCTTTTTAACCTAAATCAACTTTTATTAGCGATAAACTGCAGGTTAATGGAAGATTCTTCGGTGTTTAATGCGTTGTACATTTTTTAGAATCTTTCGTTTAATTACATTGCTATTTCAAAGGATCTACTTATTCGATATAATTTAAAACATATCATTTTTCGTCATTACACGACAAAAAAACAATGCTAATCACACATGATTCTTATGAGCAGTCTAGTATACCCTGAAAATTCCCGAAAGATTCTAAACAATTCTTACGAAAAATCATACGGGCCACATACAGCACACTTTGAAGTAGCAATTTTTAACAATAATCATTACATTTAATATTATATATTTAATATAATTTTCATTATATTTAATAATAACAATATTAAAATATAAGTATATATGCAAAGCCCGGAAAAATTAATTGATTAAAGATTTACTGAATATGTCTAATTTCAATTTATCTTTCAGATAACCTGTTTAAATGCTTCTGAAATTACCCGTAAAAGAAGATTGTGTTATCTGTGAGGGAATCGATGTTCTCTCTCAGTTCTTGACTCTTCTTATCACGATTCCATCAATCTCACGCTAGAGAATTCCTAAATATAAACGGATTTATGTACAATACATATATTACATGTCCAAACGTGTACAATTCTTTCTAGCATCTTGGAAATGCATTTGGTTTTACTAAAAGATCGCCTATTATTTGTTATTCTTAAAGTTTCGTCCGAAGTAACTCAAAGGATATAAAAATTTGAAGATTATTCGATCATGTTGAATAATGGAAAACACACGTTTGGGTCGGTAAACAGAATCTCTTACATTTCCTAGTAATACAAAACTGTACAAAAATTATTATCTCTAAAGAGATAATTGACGGAATCAATACAATTGAATGAAGTGTGTGGTATGGCCGTCCCGATAAATCGGGTCGTCCGTGATGGACGCGCGACACAGGGGGCACGATCGCTCTCTGTCGAGCCACGTCGAGACGCATGTTTCACAGAAAATATGTTTACAATGAAGCCTAACCGGCGTGGTGTACTCTTCGTGGCAAATGGCACATATACCGCCGGCTGCGATCAGCTGTTCCTTCGACGGGGATACTCCGAGGCTCTGTTAGAAAAAAAAAGAAGAAGAACATTACACAGCACGTGATTACATCACAGTTTGATAATCTTGACGGTATACTCGCGAGAATTGTGCATACCACGTTTTGGAACAGTTTCCACGCGGCGGTGCGAAACAGTTTGAGACGCGACAGTAGATCGCTACCCTTGCTCATCGTATACATTATCGAGAAGAAGATGCCCACAATTTTCTCCGGACCCTGATACCTCTCGAGCAGGTAGTACAACCACGGCTGGACAGGCGCGACGCATCGATAAAGCTGCGACATCGCTTCTACCATGAGGTAGTATTTTCCCTGAAATTGCACTCATTATTTCCGATGCACGCCAACTCCGTTGCACGCCGTTCAACAAGTTGAGACAACGCGAGCACTCACCCGATTCTGAAATGCCAGCAATCGTACCGGCAGACAGGTCAAGAGGACCTTGCAGATGATGGTGATGAGTTTAAGGAAGAAGTCCATCACCGTGACGTAGCAGAGCAAGTCCCAGATCGTGAGCGGCTCGGCGTAAGGTGCGAGGGTGTACAGATTAAACGTGTAAACGACGAAGACGATGCAGGCGGTGATGTAGCACAGGATCAGCATGAGCAACGACCAGCTCCGATTGTGCTGTTTGGCGATCTCGCGCTTCAGGTCGTTATTAGCGTGGATGAACGTGACGAGCATCACGACGAACGTGAGTATCCCGGCTCTGTGATCGTAGAGGCCCTTGGCGAGAAGGATGGTGACGAAGGGAACGTACTGTTGAAGCTCCTTCAGCATCGCCCGGGCCTCCGGGCCTATCTGGACGTTGCCGCTGGCGGCGTTATCCGCGGCGTTGTTGTCGTGGTTCTCGACAACCTCGCTCGCGGTCTCGTGCGCGTTACTCGAGAAGTTCGTCGACGCCACATGATGGTGGTGATGGTGGTGGTGGTTGCTGTGCGCGGGCTCATCGTGGGAACTCGCGTCGTTCGCCGCGGGCTCTTCCAGATTGATGACGTAGCTGTCGCTTGGTAACGCAACCGGATGGACCTGGTTCCGGTGAAGCCCATGAATGGCCAGGAGCGACGTCAACGATATGTTCGGCTGTGGGCGACAGAAGGAGCTATTAGCCGAGCATCAAGGCCACCCTCCGACGTCGCCGTGCAACGGCGATGCGACGCAACTTACCGCCGCCTGCTGTATGAGAGGGCGAATCCCTTGAATGGTGGAGGAGATGTTGCCCGCGAATATCCTGGAGCGCTCCGCCGTCCTGACGCTGAAGTTAAACGCCGTCCCGGGATTGATGCCGGCCAGCGTGTACCTGGCACCGTTCGGCGACTCTTGAACCTGCCCGTTCTCGCTCGACGTCAACGCATCTGGCATCCTCGCGTCGCAACGTCCGTTCGCGGCCTCTTCCGCCGGTCTGTTCTCAGCCATACTTTATCTGCAATTTGACCATATTTTGTCTATCCGTGGATATCAACAGCCCCGAGTCCCCCTCGTTACATCATGTAACGCGTGATCTACGTAAGATGCTTTTGATGATATCGACGTAAACAGAGCAACGGAGAATGTTATGTAATCTGTTTTTTTTAATCCCGTAACTTATCAGAATAGATACATGTGTTGGCAAACATTTAGCTCGGGAACGCTGCTTAGGTTTTCGACGAGGCCGCGTTCGCGCTCGGCGTCTTCCTGCGTAAGAGCGGAGGCCCGAGAGGGTAAAAATAATTGCCCTCGCGCACCGCGCGATTATTAATCAACCGCTAAATATGACGTACTCGAGAAGGTTAGGAAATCTGTCGTACCGACGAGATATACGAGCACGTGACGGGAGCGACACGCAAAACGCGAAATCCCGCATAGCTGTAAACGCGACGGCTGCGTCCAGCAGAAAAGGCTGCACAAAGCGGCTATGCAAAATTCGTGAATCTGATTGGCGTAACATCTCGGCTCGATTTAAGACATGCCAATCAGATTCACGATTTTATTTTCCTGCTGAGCGCAGCCATTTAATAATAATGTCACTGGCTTGCGAGAGCGCAGAAAGTAGAAGACGATGCGAGGTGAAACGTCGATGCCAGCAGCGAGCTAAAAATCCGTCTAGAGCCGCGTAACTGATTGTCGTAAGGTTTTATGGATTCCCGAATTATGAAATGAATCCTTTTCACTCGGTTTCTGGAAACATTTGAAGAGTTCCAAGAGAATTCACTTTTATGTCGCCAACTCTGAGCTTTTCCCCACCGAGTAAAAGAGCTAAGGAATTCTCTATATCTCATTCGAGTTTTTCAATAATCATCAGACGATATATCTCGATAACTGTTTATCGCGAGGAAAAATGATACAGGACTTGTTGACTTGATTTGGGGTCAAGAATATGCAACTTTGGTAAACATTGTGTACACATCTTGGAGTTTTCATGTATACACAAATGTTTATAAAGATTCCCTAACAGCACAGATGACGGAAAGTCGACTTTCCGATTAAAAGTCGACGTAAAGTCGGCGTTTCTGCGGACATTCGTCGACTTTTCGCTAAGTCATATTTCGGAATAGTCGACTTTAAGTCGACTTTTTGCTGTTAGGGTTGAAACACTATTGCAACAGCGTATTCTCGCTCAAGCATTTGTTTCTAAAATGCATAACTTTCGAAAAACTGAAGGATTTCCATACTTTTTCCTCATCCCGTGTAATATTAGATTTATATTGGAAGTGCGTTGGCCAATATTTAACAACGCAATAGGAACATTGGTTTAATATTGATACAATATTAGACCTAACTATGTTACAATTGTCATATTTGTATTCTTGTTTCTTTTACGCCCGTATCAGACTACGAATTGAGATTGGGATTAGATTGAAACTTGACCAATCACAGTAAAGTTTACTAGTCTCGGGTTTAGTTTTTTACTTTTACTCCAATTGGTCAAATTTCAATCTAATCTCAATCTCAGTTCGTAGTCTGCTACGGGCTTTAGGACTCGCTTGTCTAAAAGTATTGCAACGTATAGTTTTGAACGTATAAGGACAGCGGATTTTCCAGCCTTCTGAGCCGCGAGTAATTTGTTTACAGAGATCCTCGCGTGCCTCCCGACGATCCGAGTCGATTTTAATCCTCGTCCCTTTTATAGATTCTGAAGCGTACAGGTTTACACGTGTGGTAATAAATTTTCACGATTTTCAGGCGTTTCGAGAATTTCCTTCCGTGTCACAAAGCTGGACGAGCGGAGTCGAGTTTTAATGAGATCGACGATAGTCACTTCTGACTGGGAACCGATTGAGGATCAACGTTCTTATAGCGCTGGTCTACAATACGTGGAGTAAGGAGTAAGGGAGAGCCCTAACTTGTAGCTTTTGGTGTAAGGAAGCTGAAATACGGGCATAATTTTTAAAATATTTGTAACACTGATTGATAGCATTTTGATTCACCGACAGTAAACCTAAGAGCTGAAGTAGGAGTAAGAAATAAAATGGACTTATTTCCTTACTCCTACTCCTTACTCCAGCTTACTCCATGTATCGTAGATCAGCCTTTAGATTTTCCACTGTTTTCCACTCCAAATCCCACGGACCCCATGGACTCCGTTCGCGCGGATTCTCACAGGCCAGGTAAAACATAAAACTCACGACATGGTTCAACATTTAAAAGCTGTAGACTACGGTCAAGTTGCCGCTTCGAAGCGTTTTCTCCTCTCTCTCTGTCCTCACTGCAGGAGAAGCGAGGCAGGATACTCCGTAACATTTAAAGCGACAGCTTGACCGCAGCCATAATGACGTCATTTCAAGTCATCGTGAGTCATGGACCCACCGTTCCACCCAGGATTCGCGATATCCAATGTCGCGGCCAAATACGAGTACGCGCCCACTCACGGATCATTTCTCACTGGGACACACGCACCTGTGCACTTGGTCGATACGACGGATCTCCTAACCTTCCTGCGTGTCATCGGCTTGCGAGGTTACAACTGACACGTTTAAAGAGACGATCTGCACCTTCGAACCCCCGTCGGCTCCTCGCGCGATCATCGTAATCCGAATATCCCACGTACGTACGTGGCCAAATCCCCGGACAGTTATCGGAACAGAGAAGGGAGAGCGGAGAACCCGTCGAACGTGGAAACCGACTTGGTTTTTTCATTCGGCATTTGTTGCCCCCCCCCCCCCCCGAGACCCCCGTGCTCGATTAGCGGCGCGTGTGCGCAAGTAAAATACCTTGTGCGAGGGATCTTAATCACGCGGAGATCCCGCTACTTCCCCGCTACGATCGTCGTGGCGATGCTCATCTCTTCGCTCCGACGTAAATTCACGACGGGAGATTCGACGGGAGGGGGTGGGGGAGGGGGAAACCGCGCGGAATCGCAAATATCCCTCACGCCTCTTCCCCGCGACGCGCGCTCGCACTCGGCGACCACCCGTCCGTCATAACGATTCCACGGTTACGTACACGTCGCGTCACGCCATTGTATTTATCGCGATTATCTGTGCGACGTCGATTGGTGCCTCGCGCGGGCACGCGTACTGAAAGCCGCGGCCCGCGGCGGCTTCCGCGACACGCATCTCGCGTTAACGTCCCGCGCTCCGAGAGAGCGAGAGACTCTTCCCCGCGCAGCTCGACGCCCGAAAAAGTCCCCCCCCG